TTCCCGGGCCGGCACAGCCCGTCCCGATCCCTCCTTGCAGACCTGCCATGTCCTGGGCGAGCCCTGGACGTGTCTTGGAGTGTCCTGGACTGTCCTGGCCGTGTCCCATAAACGCTTGACGTGTGCTGAACGGTCCTTGACGTGCCCTGGACGTGTCCTGAACGTGTGCTAAACGTGCCCTGCACGTGTCTGGAGTGTCCTGAACATGTCCTGAGTGTCCTGCACGTGTCCTTGGCGTGCCCTGGACGTGTCCCGCCTTGCCGCCGTTCGTGGGAAACGACGCGAGCCCGGGCCCTGCACAGCAGCCCACTCACCCAGACAAACAAATAAAACGGGGCCTTGAGATTCAAGGGGGCCACTGAATCCATAAGCTGCGAATGCCCTTCTTGAAGGGCACCTCATTGAGTGGCGAGGCAAAAAAAAAGCAGCCAACAACAAATTATTTAGGACGGCAACGTGTTGCTGTGCAGTGGCGTGCCGCGTCGCAGGATGACGCCAAAGCGGTTGCGGATATCGCCAACTTCGAAGCCGCCCCGCATAGCCCCCAGCACACTGGAAGCACGTAGCGGGCCGCGCGATTTTTCATTCCTCCCACGCTCTGGCAAGTTTGGTGGTCCTCCACGGCGGCGTCGCGAAGGCAGCGGTGGCCAGGTCCTGCCAGGTCACCGGTAGGCCGATCTTGGCGGAGACGCGACCTGGATCATCCGGTCTGAATTATACGAGGCCTATTTTGGGGGCCGTGTCTGAGTCATGTCCTGCACTGGGATCTGTCGACGTGCGCCTCGCCGCGTGTCGGTTCCCGTCGGGTCCCGTCGGGTCCGCGGCGACGCGTTAACTGTCCCAACTTGTCGGCTGCACTCACGCTAAGACTTCCCTCTCGACTCGAGTGGCGAAATTTGATTTGCGTCAGACACACGCGCCGCCGGGGCAGCCGTCCTTCGGACGCGCAGTAGTTAAAGACACCCCTCTCCTCTCTCTCTCTCTCTCTTTCCCGCTCTCCCTCGCAGTCCCCAAACCTCATTTGCCGGCGGCTTCAGTTATAAGACGAGTCGCCTAATTGGGGGCCGTGCGGTTCCGCTACGAATTGAGTTGACAAGAAGATACGTTTATTTATTTGTCCGTTGCCGTCTGGAGAGAGCAGCGCTGAGTGGCTGTTGAAATGAGTTTGATTTGGTCCCCCCGTCGTCGGGCCCGCGCCGCTCACAGGCCGCCGCCGGTCGCGGGGACCCAGCGCAGCGGCCCGCTCCGCCGAACCTTGCTTCCTCTGTTTCCCCCTCATTTATCATAATCCATTCAATATCATTCCATCCTCTTCCGATCGACCCTCGCCGCGACCTCGCGTCCCCTCGCCTCTCTCTCTCTTCCCCTCTCTCACTCTTCCCTCTCCGCCTTCCATCAATCATGGCACTGGCGATACAATAAGCCGCAGAATCTATTTGTTTCGATCAGGGTATACACGTGGACAGAGAGAGAGAGAGAGAGAGAGAGAGAGAGAGAGACAGACAGACAGAGAGTGAAAGGGGTGGCGGCGGTGACACACGGTCTTTGCCCTCGCCCGCACAAAAGAAAGGGCGGTGCATTTGCGGGTCTCTCTCCCTCTCTGTGCGTGTGTCTGTGTGTGTGTGTGTGTGTGTGTGTGTGTGTGTGTGTGTGTGTGTGTGTGTGTGTGTGTGTGTGCGTTGTCGGCGGGCACCCGCACTGGAGAAAAGACAGTGTTGGCTCTCGTGGATCAACGGGGTGCTGAATAAAACGTGAGAACAGGTGTAGGGCGCGGCCCGGCGGCCTGGGCATTCCCCGCTGCAGGCACTGCAGGGCGGCCCCGCCCCGCCCCCGCGGCCGGGTAAACAGTGTGGCGGTGGGGAGGCTTACGCGGAGAGGGATGGCCCTGGATGGCCCGGCCCTAACCTCTGTCCCGGCCGGGCCGGGCTGGGCTGCGCCGGACTCGCGATAAATTGGTGGCCGAGCCAGCCGCCCGGCCGCCCGGAGGGCCCGGAGCCCCGCCAGGTTGCAGCTGTGACTTACTTATGAGCAGGTGCCGGCGAGTAAGCCGGTCGAGTCGATCTTGAGTTAGTCCCGGTCTTCCCTTTGCCTGGTCCGCCACCCGATACCGCTCCGCAGCGGCAACCTGGTAGCGCCGTGGTTAGAGTGCTGCGTTCCTGACTGGCAGGTCTCGGGTTCGAGACTAGTTCCATGAGCCTATTTTTCGGCAGAGGCAACCGACTTCTTGCCGAGGTTTATTCGGAGAGGATTGAGTACCAGCGCTGGCAGTGCAGGCACCATGATCCTCCGGCAGCTCAGTGGTTAAGAGCACGTTGTGGGAAGCGGCAGGTCCCGGGTTCGGGACCGGTGGTATACACAATTTTTTCGGCGACCAATTGCTTGGGGAGGTATATCCAGAGAAGATTGGGTACCGGCGCTGGCAAGACGGGTGCCATGGCGTCCCGGTGGCTCAGTGGTTAAGAGCATGATGTGGGAAGCGGCAGGTCCCGGGTTCGGGACCGGTAGTATACGCAATTTTTTCGGCGACCAATTGCTTGGGGAGGTATATCCAGAGAAGATTGAGTACCAGCGCAGGCAGAGCGGGTGCCATGGCGTCCCGGTGGCTCAGTGGTTAAGAGCACGATGCGGGAAGCAGCAGGTCCCGGGTTCGAGACCGCTCAAGGTACCATTTTTTCGGGACCAGATTTCTCGAACGGCAGCTCAAGAGGAGTTGCGACATCGCCGCCGATAAGCTGGTTCGGTGGCTGAGCGGTCAGGGTAGAGGAGTTGACTAGACTCGGCACTCGGGGTCGCGGGTTCAAATACCCAATGTGACCCCTCTGAGGTAAGGCCTCTGAATCTGGACTCTCACTGTACCACAGAAACCGCGCGCACTTCGGGTGGGCCAGCCCAATACGAACCCACTAATCTGTCGAATTGCGCGGCAGGGAGCGTCGGATGAAGGCCCGGTTCCCATAAGAACACCGAAGCTGATCGGCGGGTCTCCTTGAGACTTTCGTATTGCCACTTTTTGTGACTCTGGAGCTCAAAACGCGTCCGGGATTTTGACCGCCGCCACCCGGTCTTAGCCCCGCTGCCACACTGTGTAAAGTAGCGCTTCACGGAGTCCGTTCGTTTCAATCGGCCAGACGCAAACAGTGCATGCCGAGGACCGCGCGGCCTGCGTTTCTGCGCGCCGCGTCGCCCGAAATCGGGAAGTCCCAGCTCGTATCGGCCCCGTGGTCATTGCTACGGTTCCCCAATCGGTCGTTCCGAGGGGAGGGGGTGAGGGAGAGAGGGTCACCGCCGGAGGTGAAGCAACTGCACGGAAGAAAGAGGAACGAGGAGGGGAGGGATGTGGCGGCCCGGCGGAGGCCCGGCCCAGGCCTGGCGGTGTGTGCGACTCGCATAACAAACACCTTGAATGGATCCCCGGAATCCCTGTCCCCCAAACTCCGTGCATGTGCAAGCCACTGCGAGGCGGAAGAAGAAAGAAAGAAAGAAAGAAAGAAAGAAAGAAAGAAAGAAAGAAAGAAAGAAAGAAAGAAAGAAAGAAAGAAAGAAAGAAAGAAAGAAAGAAAGAGGCATGAAAGAACTAAAAGGAAAGGAAAGGGAGAACGGTCGGGCCGGAAGGAGAGGGGAAGAGAAATATGACAGGCCTGGCTGGCGTGGCTGGCGCGGCACGCCCAGTAATTCTGGGTCACCCATGCAAGCCACTTTGTGGAGAGGACGCCAGTCCCTTCCCTGGCGGGGCGCCCTTCTTTCTTCCCGCAAAAAAATCTTGACAAGTTAAGCCGAAAGACTCGGACCACGGCCACTGCGGCGGCGGAGGGGGGGGGGGCCGAAGGGAAGGGCGCGCGACGTGCCGCCGTCCGGAAGAAGATTACGCTTTGTAGCCCCGTCTCCAAGATGACACGAGGAATCATTGTTTGCTTCCCAATCGACTTCTGTTGTCCCTGGAGTATTGGCCCTGAGTCGCTGTTGTTTGGTTTTGATTCGTGGCGGGCTTTGTCGCCGCGTCGCCGTGGTTCAAACCGGTTTAAAACAAGTGTCCGTTACGTATTCGAGCCGTTTTTTTTCAATTGTTGTTTTTGTTGGTTACTGGGAATGAAATGGGTTGGGTAGTCAGTTCGGAAAAGTCAGAGCCACGCTTCAATCCGCATCGCTAATGACGTGTTGTCGTTGAATATCAGTGTATAGTTCCGAGGTAGCGCGGCATATTGAAATGCCTGTAGTTGGTTGTGCGTGGTCAGCACTCGCCCCGTGCCCGCACTTGAAATGCCTCTGCTGCCTATGGCCTTTGGCGGTCTTTGGCGGTCTTTGGCGGTCTTTGGCGTCGCGCTGCTGCCCCCTCGCCTCGCCACCGCGGCCGCGCCGAGAGTGGCTCTTGCACACAGTCCGAGGCAATTGAAACTCGGACAAACTTTTGAAACCATCTCCGGAAAGCTTTTCGTCCTGGCCCAAATCTTTTTAATTACATTTTCATTTCGCTGTGCCGGCCGCGCCGCGGCGGCGCGCTGTCTTGGCGGTTTCGGAGCGCGGGGCGGCGGGGCCACTGGTAGGGAGGGCGTTAGCAGGGAAAACTGGCGCGCTGCACGTCAGCGGGCGATTGCGGGCCGAGCTCGCCGGGAAACGGGCGCCGAGTCACTTTTCGGACACGACTGTATCTGCGAGTGTGGTTGTCGGTTCGTCTGATGCGTTTCCTGTCTGCGTCCAGGGAACAGCATGGTCCACAGTGGGCCAGAAGACCGGTGGCGGAGGCCAAAACTCTAGACCCGTTTTGAGCTCCAGAGTCGCGAAACAGGACTCGAACCAAGCGTGTGACCCCACCGATGGATTCCTCGTTCGGAGAGCAATCCATTGGTGGGGTCACACGTTCGGTTCGAGTCGTGTTTAGCGACTCCGGAGCTCAAAACGCGTCCGGGACTTTGACCGCCTCCACCACTCTGTGTCGGAGCCGCGACTGTGTCTGCGACTGCGTTTGTCGGTTTTTGTCTGATGCGCTGTCTGTCTGCTTCCAGGGGAGAGCATGTCGGAGCTGCACGGCGCCGCCCCGCCAGCGCGGCAGCCCCATCTGTTCCTGGTGCTGGCGCTGCTCGCCCTGAGCGCCGCGCTGCAGCCGTACTTCTCCGTGCTGCGTTGAGGGTCCGCCGTCTCCGGCGGCGCCAGCGCGCCAGCGCGCCTGCCTTCCGACGACTGCCCTCGCCTCGTCAACAGACTGCCGACGGAAAATTTACTTGAAGCCTCGCGCTCCTTTGGCCAGCAGCGGCGAGATGTGTGTGTTTTCACTGTATCGGGAATTTGATACCCCGTGGATGAGTTGTCTGTGAGTGACTAAATAATTGTCGGCCTCCAACTGAGCTTGGACCCTGCCCTTGACAGGACAAAAAAAGAGTTCACCTGTTGGAATATTTGTGTTATATCCCTAACGTTGCCTGTTTCGGAACTGTTATATTTTGGGAAGAAAAGTTACGTACCTTGATTTCCAAAATCGGGTGGCTGTCAGAGAAATCGATTTTGTTTTCAAATCGTGGCGTCGACCATTTTCCCACCCCACTCGAAATTGAAAAAAAGGCCGCCATACTATAGTGTAGGTTTGAGGGTCCATAAATTGGAAGTTTATAATTAGGTGAGGTCTGGCTTCTGGACCGATTTGCTTCTCGGTTTTATTGTAACTCGAGCTGAGTGGAGAGGTTTTGTTTCATATTGTAGTGTGGTTGGCAAACATGAAAGACATGTCCAAAAAAGCACTATAATGCACCTATCTCTGGCAAGGTGCGATGGACCTATGTGATGCTGCAAACATTATGAGAATAAAATATTTAATTTACTTAGGAGGCCCCAAGGATCTCTATCCAGTCTCTTTGTGATTCGCGTTAAAATTAACTTACAAGAATAATTTATGAATGACGATTTTGTTCTAACCATAAAGTTGACATTTTTAACAAATGACAAAAATTAATATTTATACATTATGTACATAGGTATCCCGGGTGCAACCTTGTCGTTAAATAATACTGTTTATTTTATTTCATTCGAGTGAATTTGTACGCTAAGGGGAGGCCGGGCGGCTCGTTCAATGTACGGAAATGTTCACACGTTGAGTGAGTCATCGGAAGCCTCTTTATGAACAAGCCAGTCCTTCAAACCGTTGGTTGAATCTCATCTATTCTGAACCTCTACCAGAGGAAACTTTGAGATGTTTAAGGAATTGGTTTTATTTTTGTTTGGATCAATAGAACGCAATGAATAATCGCACACGGGCGAGCAAAGCCCGTGGCAGGATGAGTCATTTTCAAAGTAAAATAGATTTTTATTTCTACACATAATGTCAACAAAAGAAATAAATAAATTTGTTTTAAATAAACATGCTGGTTTCTTAAACTTAATTTTAGCAGTGCGGACAGGCAGTGTCTCTACGCTGAATATCACAGGCGGAAGGTCGCGGAAGGTGGACGGTAGCCGCAGGCAGCGCCAGACTACCCCACATTCACTCGGCACAGAATGGCACCGTCACTGCAGAAGCTGCAACAACCGGAAACAGAACACAATTATCCCTCGCGGGCGCACTGCAAAGCCGGACGCATCATGCCGCGCCCCTCCATGAAGCTTATTTTCAAATAATAATAATAATAGGCTTCCGCGATAACCATATTATTGTCACAAGGCGGCTTTTCAATTATTACTATCAATCATTATCGTTTTAGAAATTGAGACCGGGCCGCCTGCCTGCGATGCAAACGCGGCATCAATAATCTGCAGGCTTTCTCTCTCTCTCTCTCTCTCTCTCGGTCTCTCCCGGTCGTAGGTTAGCCTGCTTGTGGTGCGGGAGTGCGGGGATTGGTCGGGTTGGCCGGCCTGGATCGGGTACAGTCACGCGCGGCGGGGCGGGGCGGGGCTGGTGGGGCGATCGCCGGGCCGGCGCCGCACTGTAGGGCTGGCGGCTGGCGGACCGCCAGCGACGGCAACCTGACCCGGCGCGGCGCGGCCGCCTGGAAGTGCTGGGAGCGCTGCGAGGAGCGGAGCGGGCCAGCGGACTCATTCCGAGAGTCGTCTTCGTCGCGCCGTCTCTCTCGCAGCTATCTGGCACGCCCCTTGAGTGCGAGAGAGACGGAGCGACGACTCTCGGCATCAGTCTGCTGCAGCAAGATCCTATCTGGACGGTGTTCACCGCCACGGCGCCGTCAAGGCCGCCGAGTGAAACCGCACGGCAAAACGCGCAGCGGGGGCGACTTTCAGCCCGACTCTTTAAACAACTCGAGGTGATGCGCCTCTTTCTGACCGGAAAACGAAAACGCAGCAAAGCTCTATTTTCTTCCCTGCCCTCGGACGCGAGGGGCGAGGCGACCCCGGAACTCCCTTGTCACCGCCACGTCGCCGCGTCGCCACGTCCCGGCGGTCGGGGCGGGCGTGCCCAGGGCGTGCCCGCCGGCGGACTGATTCCGAGAGTCGTTTTCGTCGCGCTGCCTCTTTCGCGCTCACAGGTGTCCACTGTGGGTGCGAGGGAGACGGAGCGACGAAAACGACTCTCGGAATGTGTCTGCAGGGCGCGCGTTTGTTGTCGGCGCTCGCCCTGCCTGGCCTGCCCGGGGCCCGGGGCGCGTGGCCGCGTGGCACATCCAGACCACACTTGTGCCGCGCCGCGCGTGCGTGCGTGCGTGCGTGCGTGCGTGCGTGCGTGTTTGTAACCAGAGTGTCCTGGAGCGCCACACCCCAATTAGGCCGCGAGCGCGACAGTCTCTGTCTCTCTCGCAGCCTCGCAGGGCGCCGCACCGCCGCACGCGTGTGACAGAGACAGAGAATCCGCGACGAAAGCAGCAGGAAGAAGACGGAGACACGCGCGGGGCGGCGCGGGGTGAGCAGGGTAAGGGTTGCTTTGCGTTAAGAGGAATTAATGCGGACGACGCAGTCTCCGCGTCGTCGGAGTGCTGTTGTTGGCAAGTCGTACCATCTCCGGGCGTGGGTGCCCCTCGCCGGCCGCGCCCATCGCCCCGGAGGCCCTGGAGGCCCCGAAGGCCCCGAAGTCCTGGAGGCGTCGCAGCTCGGCGGCGTGTAGAGTGCAGCCCCCCATTAGCGCCACCACCTCGGGGGCGGCCAGGGCCGCGGCCTGCGCGGGGACTGGGCGGCGGGGCGCGGCCACGACCGCGGGGACCGGCACGGGGCCGTTGGCGACGACGGGGTGCAGCGCGTCTGGAGTCTCCTCCTCCCAGTCCACCACTGCGAACAAAGCCACCTCAGCGCTAATACAGTGGGCCAGAGTACCGGTGGAGGCGGCCAAAACTCTAGACGCGTTTTGAGCTCCAGAATCGCTAAACGGGGCTCGAATCGAGCGTGTGACCCCACCAATGGATTCCTCGTTCGGAGAGCAATCCATTGGTGGGGTCACGCGTTTGATTCGAGTCCCATTTACCGACTCTGGAGGTCAAAACGCGTTTTGGCCTCCTCCACTGGCCCTCCACCGTGCCGTTGAAACTACACCGATGGAGAAGAAGACGTTCAACACCCTGGACTCTTGTCTGGCTGTACCTACCGAGTGGCGGGTCGGCCGTCCGCAGACAGGTGCTGACGCAGCCGTTAAGGCAGCAGCGGCGGCGGGGCTGCCCCGGGGCCGAGCCGCACTCGCCGTCCGAGGCGCAGCGCGGGGCCCAGCACTGCGGCGCCCTCCTGGGCGGCGGCGGCGGGCAGCTGGCCTGCTCCAGAGCGTGCTTGTCCTGGAAGCGAGCAGCCGAGACGGCGTTAGTAGTATTCGCACACGCGAGGCGGCAGGCGCCCCACCCGGCGGGCAGGGAGGCTGCCGACCTCGGAGTGCTGCGGGCTGATTCCGAACCGGGCCGTCGCGCTGTCTCTCTCGCACTGCAAAGCAACGCCCTGGGAGCGCGAGGGGGACAGCGACAGAGCTCCGTTCGGAAGCACACTGCTGGAGCGGCGGGGGCGGCGCACCCAAGGCGCACCCACAACACAGAGGCACGCGAGGACGGCGAGAACGCAGCGCGAGTATCGGCGAGGGGTCGGCCGGCAGTAAAGAAGGGGAGGGAGACACGGTGAATATCCCTTCAGTCCGATTCAGCGGTGGGGAAAGGGGGGGGGGCGGATGGACGGCCGGGGTGCTGAGGGCGGTCCTGTGGCCACACAGGGCCGCCGGGTTGGGGTTCATTCCCCACACTGTGCTTGCAGTGAGTCCGGACGTATCGAGTCGCCGTGGCGCCTGCAGACTGGAGGGCCTCGGGCCTGCAGCAGGGCTAATGCGCTCAGTCGGCACACACTCACACACACTCATTCACCCACTCTCTCTCCCACACACGTTCAAGAGGCACTGACGTGCATTCATTCCCAATCCTTTCCATTGCCGGTGGGGCCAGCGGATTCCGCACAAAACAAGTAAGTCGCGAAAAAAAAAAGTGTTATTGGTACCTCTGAATAATGCAACAGCGCGCACACACACACGCCGCAGAAGAAATAATTTTATTTTTATTTTCCTTGCGTAGCGAGGCAAGGGCCGTAACCCAATGAGAGCACGCACACTTTACTGTGTTTGACCGGGGCGAATGGAAAGTTGTCTCCGGCAGTGGCCACTATAGGAAGTTTCGACGGCCAGTCTCGACTCGTTACACTAAGGCGGCCCGGTGTGTCCACGCCCAGAGTCCCCCCCCCCCACACACACACACAGCCACACACACTACCCCTTCCTCACATTCCCACTGCCATAAATCCCGTCCAACAACTCACACAATCACTTTTTTTGTCTTTAGAAAGTGCAACCCCGCGCGGCGTGGCGCTGTGGCCGTGCAGGCCATGCCATGCCGGCCGTGCTGCTGGGCTTCGCCCCCAGGCTCTGCCAGGCTCTGCCAGGCTCCGCTTTGCGAGTCCGCGCGGCCCCTGCAGACTTTGCAGTAACTCAGACAGCCACTTTTTTTTCCGGCCCCGCGCCCGGCGCGCGTTTCTGAGCGCCGCGAACATATGACTCTTTGTCCACTGAATTTATTGCGCGCATATATATTCGTTGAGAGCTTCCTTCCTGAATTTATTATTTGATGTCCCGAGGACGACTGCAGCGGCCAGACTCCAGACCTGCCGCGCCGAGATGCAGCAGGAGTGCGCCGTGCGGTGGGGGTCATCGTCAAGGCCGTCCACAAGGTCGGCGTGCGGAGTAGGTCAGTGTGGCGGAGGAGCCCAGTGGCCAACTGCCCCGCTTGCTTGATGCGTGCGCGCAACAAATAAATTCGTCATTGCGGGGGGCATGACGGCCCTGCCCCGCCATTGCCCTGCATAATTGCTTCGGCCGGCACTTCCACAGGTGCGCCCTCAGTCCTCCACTTCCCCCCAGTCCCCTCCAGTTCCCTCCGCGGGTCGCCGCAACGCGCGGGCCACGCAGCAGCGACGCAGCGCAACCCGGAAATTTACAGCCAGGTGGATCCTCGGGTGGATCGGCGTCGAACCATTGGTGACGCGGGGGAGGGGGAGGGGGAAGGGGGAGGAGGGGGCGAGTGATTTATCTTGATGTATCAGCCTTCGCTTCGGCTGTCGCCTCCGCCACCGCGACCTACAAACACCCCCGAGCCCAAGCCCGAGCCGCTCTAAGGACAGCACCGCCTCCGCTACCGCTAGCCGCGGCCACACACACACACACACACATGCAGCCCTTCCTCTTCCTGGAGCTGGGTCCGCGGCAAAGCAGCCTTCGCTCAGTGCGTGGGAGCCGAAGTGGGAGCCGTATGTGCGATCTCGCTGCTCAATCTCCTCATCCGTTTTCCTCGTTGATGTTCGTCGCTTCGGTGGTAATTGCGTCTCCAGGGTCGTACAAACGGGGCGCTTTCCGCACTTAAATCTGCTGCCTGGCCCCACACCTGCCTGCCCCCAGTGTTGACCTCGACCCCCCCCCCCTCCCCGGAGTAAACTGTCCCCCGGTCGTTATTTTTCCTTTCTTGCGCGACTCATTTCGTTCTCTTTTGGCTCATAACTTTCCCGCGGGGATGGTGTGTCTTCCGGCCTAATGCAGCCTGCGCCGTGCCTGCGCCGTGCCTCCAGGTCTCGTCGGTCTCTCTCTCTCTCTCTCCTACATGGACGCGCCATGAGAGCGAGAGAGAGACCTCCCCCTCGGAATCAGCCCACTGCGCCTCCGCGCGGCTTTACTGCGGGGGCCTCATGAGGTGCACACAGCTTAGCACCTCCCCCCCCCCCTCGCTCTGCGAATATTATTACAGAGAAGTAAGTGAGCAATACGCTTAGCCGCGTCGCCGGGCACCCCGGCCTCGGCCCCGGCCGACCCGGGCCAACAGAGGGGACGCTGCGAGACGTGCCGGGCGTGCCGCTTTTTGGAAATTGCCCCCAATGCTTCCGGGCAGGGGCAGGGGGGGCGGAGAGGCCGGTGGGGCGGGGGCCTGGTTCTGCCTGCATAATTCACTCTTGCAGACCATTATTACATGCGAGTACGTCCCTCGGCGTTGTATTTATTTAGAACCGGGCGCGGCCGAGTGCGCATGCTGGCAGTGGCGAGCGGCAGATAGGACTCACATGGCGCCGGCCGAGCGCCCGCAGAAGCGAGGGTAGGCAGGCCCGCCAGTCGGGCCTGTCGTCGTGGTTGCCTACGCGCCAGGCGCTCCGCCCGAGCCGAGCCAGAAGGCCGGTGGAAGCGGCCAAAATTCTAGACGCGTTTTGGGCTCCAGAGTCGCTAAACAGGACTCGACCCGAACGTGTGACCCCACCAATGGATTCCTCGTTCGGAGAGCAATCCATTGGTGGGGTCACTCGTTTGGTTCGAGTCCCATTTAGCGACTCTGGAGCTCAAAGCGCGTCCGGGGTTTGGACCGCCTCCACCGGTCTTCTGGCCCACTGTGCGCCGGATGCCTTCCAGTCCCTTCCCGGTGATTCACTCGGACGTGCCATCACGGCGTCGACGCGGCTGTCGCGGCTGTCACGCGGACACGGAGACACGCAGACACGCGCGCGTCGTGTCGCCGTGTCCGCGTCACGCCGCGCATGCTTGTCGGCCCTCGCCGGCCACGCGGTGGTGTGGTGGCGTGGCGGCTGGCGGGTGACACAGCAGCCGTAATGTTTTGCCCCCCGAGGCGACGGAGTGTGATGTGTTGTGAGTTGTGCGCGCGCGCGAACACATTCACGCAAACACACGCACACACACATGCAGGACTTACTTCTCGCACACGCGCGCGCGCGCACACATACACACACACACACACGCACGCCACAAACGACCAGGAGGTAGACCAAAGCGTTTCTGCTGAACAGTTCAAACGAAGTTCAGTTGGGTGCCAGTCTACCCCCCCCCCCCCCCCGTTTCCACACACATACACTCACACACACACAAACAGTGACGCCGCAAAGCTGCCGATACAGCCCGAGACTTGCCGAGCGAAGCCATTGTCAGGGGGCCGGGCCAGGCCGGGCCGGGTCGGGAGCCGGGTGCGTATAAATAGGGGTGTTGGTGTGCGATGCTGCCAACCCGCCGCGCCGCGCAACCCGCCGCCAACGCATCGGCCAGGCATCGGGGCGCGGCGGGGCGGGCGGGGGGGGCGGGGCGGGGCGGGGCGGGGCGGGGCGGGGTGAAGGCATAGCCGCGAGACTTGTCACGCCCGAATCGCTCTGCCAATTTAGAGAGGCGAGCTAATGTGCTGGGTCGGACGCGGCTCGGCTCGGCACGGCCCGGCGCCAGAGTAACGAGTAACGACACGTCGACAGTAGTCGGTCAGTCAGTCAATCCAGGCAGTGACGCCCGAACGTCCCGCGGGAGGGAGGGGACCAGCTTTTATTGCGGGAATCTAAATTGATTGCGCAAATGGCGACACAGCCCATCCGAGTAGTAATGTGTTATTGCGGCCGCCGATGGATGGATTGGGATGCTGGACGCGGCAGGGAACTCCTCCGCGCTGTGGCGGCCGAGGAATGCGGCGCGGCGGCCATCTGCGCGCCAGTGCTTACGCTGCTTACGCTTACAGTGTGGGCGCCGAGCGCGCCGAGCGCGCCAAGCGGCCGTTCGAGCATGCCCTATGTTGGGCCTCTTTCTGACCCTCGTTAACTTTTATTTAAGACCGAGCCGAGAGGCCGAGACCAAGGGCGCGGGAAGTAGTGTGGTCTTTCGGGGGAATGGGTTGCCTGCCTGTCAAGAGGCTGATGCTCTCAGCGCTCTGTCTCTCTCGCACTCCTGGGGCGTTCCCAGCGAGAGAGACAGCGACGAAAGCGGTTCTCGGAATCAGCCTGGACTCCAGCTCGAGGCAGAGGCCCGCGGTCCCGCGGGGGGTGCGAGAGGACAGAGCTGTGTGCTCGACTGCGCGGCAGTGGCGGCAGTGCCGGCGTTACCTGAGGCAAGCACGGCGAGCACACGGCAAAGCCGAGGCTGGACCCGCCGCGGGGCCGTGGCATGGCAAGGCACGGCATGGTCCGGGCGGTGGCTGCTTTGCCAAGGAGTCGGAGTGGCGAGATAAGATAGCAGCGCCGCCTGTTGTCTCTCTCGCACTCGCGGCGTCTCCGTCCAGCGGCGTCGCCCCTCTCGCTCGCACTCGCACATTCCTGCCTGGCGCGCAATCTGCGCGGGGAGCCGCGGGATTACACGGCGGCGCCTCGGCCAGCGCGGCGGCCAGCATCTCGGCCGGCATGGCGGCGAAGGGGAGCACCTGCATTCTTGCTTCTGCTGCAAACCGCGAGGCGAGCGCGGCAAGCGCCAAACATTTGGCGGCGCAAGCGCTCCGCTCGCGCTTTGATCGCGGTTCCGCCGGAAGGCCGCCCGGCCGAGCGGCCTGGCCTGGCCGTCAAAGGGTGGCGCGTCGCACCGCCTTGGTGGCCTGCGTGACGTCACAGTGACGTCACCGCGGGGGCAGGAAATTGGGAGGGCGCAGAATTTGCAATACGGGCGCCAGGGCCCAGAAGGCACGCCGCGGGCCTCGCCGCCGACAAACGGACGGACGGACAGACAGACAGAGCAAGGAGTCGTAAAAAAGAGCCGGGCTTCTCAGGCTTCGCAGCGTCAAACGCGATACTGTTTAGTGCGACGAATAAATTCCGTCGGATTTGGTTCGGCTCGGTGCGTCGCAGTGCCTCTGGCAGCCTCTAGATGGTCCGGGCCCGCAAGGGAAGTACCGCCTCGGCGAGCGGGCCGAGCGGGAGGAGGGGGTACTGTCGAGTTCCCTCGGAAACAAGGGCACGGAGTACGGAGAAGAGGCGATTAGGTCCTGGGGCTCCGACTTACGCCTACAACTAAAACGCCAACAGGTGGAGTGTGGCGCCCCCCCCCCCCAGCCACCACGGCCTGGTTTACAATGCAAGTGCCACTTACCGGCGACTCGAAGGTGACCACGAACTTGTCGGCCTCGTCCAAGTGCCGCCCCCGCCTCAGCAGCGCTTCGTCGGCGTCCTTGTCCTCGGCGTCGTCGTCGTCCTCGCCACTGCTGGAGTACTCGTCGCCGTCCTCGTACACGTACTGCTCGTCGTCGGTGGCGGTGGCGGCGGCGTGTGGCCTGGGGGATGCCGATGACGGCCCGGCCGCGAGCAGCACCGCGACGACGACGACGCTCAGCAGCACCGCCGTCCTGCGCGCCGCGTCGCCCTGGCTCTCCCGGTGGTCGCGCATGCCGCGGGCTCGGCCCTCATCGGCGTGCTGCCGGCGTGGTGCGCGTCCGCGTGCTCGCCGTGCTCGGGGAGCGGCTCGGTGCCGGTCTGAGCGGCGACTCTGCTCGCTCTGCTCGCGGGGGCCTAGGCCTGCGCCACCCCGGGCCGGCCGGCCAGGTCAATGCTTCCTTCCTTACAACGCACAGCAGCCAGCTGCGCGCGGCTCGGGTGCCTGCTGCTGTTTGCCTCGGGTGTGGACGTGCCGCGACGCGCTGTACTGAGCTAGCAGACCACGCCGCGGGCCGCGCTGCTGCTTTCCGCCCGCCTTGTGTATTTGTTCGCGACGCCGGTCCCCGTCGGTGCCTATGTGTACCCACCGCCCTGTCGGCCTCCATCTCCACCTTCGCAACACTTCTAAGAAGTTTGAGATCTCGTCGTTTAGGCAAAATCCGCTGGGCTCCCATCGCCTCTTTGTGCCTTTTTCCCGGAAGCGTCTCTCTATCCACCCTCATCACTTTCAAGAATATCATCGCTTTTGTGGTTCCAGTTTTCTGCTGGAAAGAGACTGTTTAAGGATTGTTGTTCTTATTGCTTCATTCCCTCTGTGGCACAGCGCCCGGAAGGTAGACCACCGCTTTGACACGTCGCGGGGAGGGAGGGGGGGGGGGGCGCTTGCTGAGCGCGGAGTATTGCCGCTAGCCTGAGGTCCCTCGTCGTCGGGGTATATACTGACGTGTTGAGGTCGTCTGCCACTGTGCCCCCACATTAGGAAGTATTTGAAGGACAATCAGGTGAGGAAAAGGGGTAAAAACTACAACAGGTTTTACAAAATGCTTCACTTTTAATACTTTCATTATTTTTTTATAATGAGGAAAACATATCATTACGGATATTCTTTGTATACTACGTACACACAACAAATAATATATCACTGAAATATACATTCGTCAGACAGATGTAAATAAACAATTCAATTTCAGCATGCAAAGGCACCTATGGACATTGCTGTTTAAAAAGCGCTAACTACATTTTTCCACTATCACTCAGTTATTTTAATTTAATAGACAAACAACCTCTTCCAGACTAATATACTCTCTTCTGGCTTACTTGACTCATGCTTATGTAACTTCCACAAAGCTTTTTCTTCAATATAAATGAAATAATTCTAAAATTCAACAAAATTTCCGATCCGTAGCTCACAGCATTTTGAACATTGAATAATTTGGTCCCAAATCAGTTTGGTATGATTTAGTATTGCCAACTATGCTGTTGCAAAGCTACGCAAAATGAGGTTTACTTATTGCCTGGTAGAACTGCTGAGTATTAGTGGAACAGTGGAAATTTCCAGAGTGAACAATTTGCAAAACTGAGTATAAATTGGTTCAGCAAAAATATGCTCATCCATCATGAGTAACAGTAACAAACAAGACTTTGGTTTTGTTATGCAACTGAGATTTTACCTTTGTTGCTTATGTTTACAAGTATGCATACAAAAAAAAATAACAGAAAACAATGATATCCAGAATGGTAGTTGCAAGTCAAGAATGCGATCTTAAAAACAACCGTAACAGGAGTTCTGAGAGAACAAACAATAGCCATTGGAATGGACTTTAGGTACAACTCTCCAACATACAGCAATCAACAAACAAGATACTCCCGAAGAGGAAGGGGAAAATATAAAGCGGAAATTCTTGACCATGAAAACCAGAATTCAAAATAAAACAATTTTTGTATAGAAGTTAGTAGAGGGAACTGGGCAACTTACTGCTGCAACTGTAATGTAAGTTCTACCAAAACATTGGGTAGTAATCAATATTAAGAAAACTGACACACAAAAAAAATAAAAACTGAGTCAAGTATACCAGACAACCATTATAAAAAAAAAAGGAAAGAAACACACATTACAGTCAATATGCTAGCAACAAATTTCACAGGGTACTAAATGCAACAGTTAGCAGGTTTACTCTTCTTGCTTGCCTGGCAAAAGCCTTTTTTCAGCAAATATAACAAGGAAGCAAAAAAAATGTGGAGAGAAACATTAATTTCCTCCCAAGGTTCACGATATATAAAAATTTATCCACTTTCTGTAGTTTTCCTTATTTCCTATCGACCTAACAAAATGACATCCATAGTGGCATACAAAGTATAATTCCTACATGACCATATACACATATAAATAAACATGAATCTATGTATATGTATATATGAAATATACAGGCAATATATTACAATTTGAAAAGTTCGCATTCCTTGCAAACTGGAATTCATGAACAGAAAACAAAAAGTTCTTCAAAAAATGACTTTGTAATTGATTTGTTTCCTAACACATTTAAAGCAAAGAGAAAATAACTACAAGACATTTATTGAAGATACAGGAAATAAATTCTAGGGTGAAGCTTAACCCACACATAAATATGAATCAAAATCGATAGGGAAAAAAGCAAGAACACATGACCTTATTATCTGATTACATCAACTAACCGTTTTTAAAATAGACAGGATCCTTCAACAAAATGGTCATCATCTCAACAGTTAGTTTTTATTTGTGTATTATTCTGGTTTGCCTCCAAATGGTAAGAGCGTACACAACATGAAAATAAAGACAATTTATCTCAATGCTTCCGGCTTGGTCTTTTGGAGATTGAATCTATGAAATTAGTACCTCTGAGGCTAATCTTTTCCTAGTAGAAATTGTTAACTTGCTGCACCATAGTCAGCCTTTACTTTAAAGCTCAAGGTCCCAGAGTAAAGAAACAAACTAAAGGAAAAGAAAAAAGACAAAAACAAAGCAAAGGAAAAGAGGTTGAATCTTACACAGAAAGATATGTTAAAATTACAATTTTGTATGTAACTGTTCCATGGTATTAAAATATAACCAGTCCAAAGATGGTATAAGTATCACACATACAAGACCATCTTGTGAAAATATTGGAAATTCTTTTGTTTCAGAACCACCATTACAGTCACCAGCTGTATTGCTGCCAAACTCAATCATCACACTCCATTCACACTTTATGACTTAACTACAGGGTAGCACAGAGAGGAAACATTAAATATCTAAGTATTTCACAAACAAGGGAAATTTTACACAAGCAGGAAGTGTCTCACAGACATTTACCCATTTCAAGAACGAATTCATCACTTAATAGGAAAAAACAAACACAACTTCAAGAAGTTACCATTATACTTTATATCTTTGGTCTCTGAGCCTCACATGAATACATGTGAGTAAGAAGCGACACTCACAAACTTGTCCAGAAACTAGTAAAACAGCTTACACAATTGGAATGTTGATATCTTATTTCAAGAAGTTTTCTCCACTTGAGACTGTTGAACACTAATTGAGATACTGACAATGCACACTAAGATATGTCACATCGGCCCATAAAAGTCACATGATTTTGAATCAAATTGATTGACACTTTTAAAGTAGATTTTAACACAGCAAACAGAATGCTGAACAGCAACTGAGGCAGCAATGATCATTTTGTAGTAGAAATAAATACCTTCATGTAAAACAGGTTACACTGAGAAAGTTGTATGTACTTGAAGACTTACATACTGAGGGGAAACATGTTGGCATTAAGACTAAAATAAATATGACTAAATAAGGAAGGCAAATAACAATGCCTAGACACAGAAAAAAATTTCAAGACAAGAAACAATTGCTCTGACTTGGAGTATCATTCACGACTTGAGTGTGTATGTACACCAGGTGAGAAGCATTTTTTTCTCACTCAACAAAAAAACACAATTGTATGATGAAGGTAGTCAATAGAACATCTACCTTATTTCAAAGGCACCCCATGTTGCCTGAAATGCTGCTTGGTACACACATCCCAAACAACTTAAATGCGTATCATCTAAGACACTCAAATACACCTCACGTCAGACTGATTCTTAGAGAAAATGTTTGGAATATCTCAATCAATTACAACCTACAGACAAATTAAAAAAGTATCTTTGCATAAATATTTTTCTTTTTAAAGAATTAAAAAACTATACTAACTTGATTTTCACATATGCAATGTGCTTAACAATAGGAAATAGGAGAAAATTCACAGTCCTGAAGGAATTTTTGGCTCTCCATAGTAGAAAGAGAAAACAAAACAAAAGAAAACAGAACAATCACACAAGACAGGGGATCCATTACAGAGCACCATTTGCTTCAGTCCACCATCATGAGAAACACTAACAGATATATATAGAACTGGTAAACACAACAGATTGAGTCTATCACACCAGACCATAACTCAGTAGTAACATTATGTAACAAACTAAGTGGTCTTCTTTCTAGAAAACAAATATGATCACAAAACAAAAAAGAAATAACAAACATTTAGAGGGTTTTGCAAGTAGCGGCAAATTGATAACGGAGTTGTTAGTCAAATTATCCTAGCCTGTACAACACACATAGCAATATTTTGACATTGTCAATACAAGAAATTCATTCAGGTACACAAACATTAGTTCACCAAATAATAATATTCATTTTTCAACAAATTAGAAAGGAAGCCACTTCTTGCAAAAGCCTCAGTGCCAAATTGAACATGCCTTAAATTATTAAAACACATTCTTTTGTAACCGCCGTTGTCGGAAGTCATATATTTTACGACAGAAGAACACCATATCAGGTGCAACATGCCCAGGAGGTAACCGATGATGACGAGGATATTTTCCTTCAGGTGCGGGCACAACCAACGAAGGAGGGGACAGGCCTTCTTCTAGGCGACGAATTGTTTTGCGATATCTAAAGGTAAAGATAAAAAACAATGAGACCCTTCCAGTTGAGAAAGAATGGCATTCAAGTGATAAAAAGGATAATAATTACCTGCAGTATTCATTAAAAGTTAAAACGTAGCATTTATCTTCGATACATGCCACACTATTGATATCTTTGTGACGGGATGAAAAGATTTCATCATCCAGATCACAAGGTCTGCGCCCCTGCTCGGTGTGTTCGGGCCGATAAAACCACACCAAAGACAGCATCATTTCACCTGAAATTCAGAAAAGAAACTGTGAGATACATGGTCTAGTAAAAGGGCTTCACCCCTCCTTATTTAGGATAAATTCCTGAATGCATTCCTGGTCATGAAACAGACACTTACCATCCTCTGGGTTCTCCCAAAGATGAATGACTCGTGCCACGAACGGCAAGTCGATCTTCCTGGTACCCGACTTGAGCAGGATGGTGTCGCCCAGCACGATGTTGTCGCCCTCCATGTGCTGCATGCCCGGGAAGCACTTCCGTAACACGGGTGGGTCGTCGCACTGCAAACACAAGCAAACAATCAGCTCACAGTCCACCGACACTTTTCCTATGTTCATCCGGCTTTCAAAGACAGCCCCCCCCCCTTTTCAAACACGAGAAGGTAGCAAACAAGACACGGAGACCTCGGCCACAACTTACATTGAGGAAGACTCTGTGCAGGAAGGGCGTCCCCCGCCACTGCCAGCCGTTGGAATACTTGGGCGCCTTGACCTCGGCGCAGGACTCCAGGAGTCGCAGCTCTGACTGCGAGATGGTGAGGCAGGCGGGCACGTGCAGCCCGGCCTGCGCCGCCAGCGCCTCCACGCGGCTCCGCTCCACGGGGGGGTCGTCCTGGTGGTGGCCGTGGTGGCCGTGGTGGTTGTGGCGGTGGCTGGCCGTGGTCGCGGGGGCTGGTGTTGTGGTGGACGTCGTGGTGGGTGCGCTGGAGACGGCGGGGATCGCCAGACGCACGGCGGCGGCCGCTGTGGCCACGCCCTCCGCGGCGTCCTCGCCGTCGTGCTCGCCGTCCCCGTCGGGGTTGGGGGTCTTCTTGGCCTCCGCGGCGCGCACGAGCGCCGCCAAGCGCGCCGCCCGGGTCGCCTCCTGCTTGGCGAGTCGCGCCTGCTCTCGCTCCTTCTTGGCGAGGCACTTGGAGATGAGCTTCTTCTGCGCGGCGATGAGCCGCCGGCACTGGTTGATCGGGACGCCCTCGGGTAGCTCCGCCGCCGCCACCACGGCCGCGGCCGCCGCCTCCTCCTCCGCCAGCCGGGACCGCGACGTGCTGCGGCTGCGGGACTTGCTGCTGTCGCGAGACGTCGACTTGGTGTTGTTGTTGCTCTCGGTTTCGGCTTTGTCCTGGGACTTGTCCCGGGACTTGGCGCGCTTGGCGCTGCCCGAGGACTTGTTGCTGTCAACGGACGCCGCTCGCGACTGAGAGCGCTTCTTCTGCTTGCTGGCCTTCTTGCTGTTCTCGGTGGCTGGGCCGTTGGCTGGGCCGTTGGCTGGGCCATTGGCGGGGCCGTTGGCGGGGCCGTTGGCGGGGCCGTTGGCGGGGCCGTTGGCGGGGCCGCTGGCGGTCGCCTTTTTGCTGGACTTGCTTGCCGCGGCCTTGGTCTTGGCCGCGCCGTCAGCCTCGACGCCCTGCACCTCGGCGTCGACCTTCTTCGCCTTGCTCGTCTTCTTCTTCTTGTTGGGCGGCGCCGAGTCCTCGGGCGCGCCCTGCTTCTCCGTGGGGCTCAGCGGACCGTTGGTCACGTGCACGCCGACGGCCTTGGCTGCCTTGACCGCGTCGGGCGGCGGGGACGTTTGCGTCGCCTCCTCGGTGGTCGCGACGGCGTCGTGCGCCGCCTTCTTGACGTCCTTCAAGTCCTCCAGCTTGACGGCGTCCTCCTTGGTGTGCACACCCTGGCCCTTGACGGGCCGGTCCCGCTTTCGTCGCGGCGCCCCGGTTACCGGGGGTGGGGGTCCGAGGCCGGGGGTGGGGGGCGAGTCGTGCTTGCTGATGGCCAGCAGCCCGGTGGGCCCCGCGGGGGTGCCCCCGGTGGGGGTCGGGGGTGTTCGCGCGGGGGGCGTGCCGCCCGGGGTACCGTCTGGCGGCGTGCCGGGGTCCTGCTTCACCACGCTCTTGGCGCTCTCCATGTTGTCCCAGGCGTGATAGCGGTGCGTGGCCCCCGCCGCGGGGGATGGCGGGGGCGGCATTCCCGCCGAGCCCCTGGCGGGCGACGGCGGGCCGAGCGCCCCGGGGTTGAGTCCCGGGGGCTCGTGGGGCAGCGCGAGGGCCACTGGGGGCAGAGGTTGCATTTTGGGCCCCTTACCGTCACCAGTAAGGGGACCAGTATGGACGTTTTTTGGACACGATTGCATTGGGCAGGGGCACCTATACGTCGCTGTCTCTGTAACAAACACGAAAAAAAGAAAAGACGCATTAGGGATCGTGTGTCCCACGAGGAAAGAAAAACGGCAAAAAATAAAAAAGATAATCAGTGTTAAAGTGTTTCTAGCATGAAGAAGTGGATAGAAGAAGTGCTAGGTTCTACAAAGGCGATCAAGGCGGTCGGAAGGGCCAACACACAGTCTCTTCGCCCTTTTGGCGATCGTGGCGAGCGTGGCCGTCGTGACGAGGTCACGGAAAAGAGGCCAAGGCCACGCTCAGCATCCACGTCCTTCCGACGAGTCAGAGAAAGCCTTTCCTTCCCACGACATCAAAGTATAGAAACACACAGCGACAGTGGAAGACGCGACAGAGGGGGCAGGCCGGGCAGGCGCAGCTACGCGCCGCCCTTGTGCGGGGAGGAAGCGGGGTAGGGGTAGGGCGGGGGCACGCCATGGTAGCCATGGTGCGCACCATGGTAGGGGTGGCCATGGTCGTGATAGTGGTGGTAGTGGTGGTAGTGATGGTGGTGCGAGGCCAGGGCGCCGCGCGCAGCCACGACCAAGAGGTGCACGCGGTCCGAGAACTCCGAGAATTGATGCTGACCTGAGGCGGGGTACGCAGGGTAGTGCACGTAGGGCTCCACGGGGTACTCCGGCGGGGCGGCGTGCGCGGGCGGGGCGCCGGGCGGCGGGCCGCTGGACACCACCATCTGCATCTGGTGCACGGCCCCCAGGGGGGCACCCACGGGCGGCGCCACGGCCAAGGTGGAGCCCGCCGCGGCGTAGGGGTCGGGCCCCGGGGCCGGGCCTGGGCCTGGGCCTCCGTGCCCGGACGACGGGTGCAGGTAGGTGTAGTGGCGGCGGTAGTGGAGCGCCCGGTGGTAGTAGTTGGGGTAGCAGGGGTCCTGGTACGGCGGCGGGTAGTACTGCTGCGGGTACGGCGAGTAGTAAGCCGGAGCGTGGGCGGCGTGCGCCGCGTACGGGTAGCGGTACGGCGGCGCGCTGCCGACCGAGGTCCCCGACGTCCCCGACGTCCCCGAGGTCGCCGTCGTCAAGGGCGCTGCCGTCGGCGCGCTGCTGCCCGCCGCGTGGGCCGCGGCGGCGTCGGCCTCCGCGTCCGTCAGCAGAGGCGCGGGCGGCGGGGTGGCGCCGAGGCGGCCGGGGGGAGCCGACTTAGGGGGCGCGAGCGACGCCAGCAGCGGCGCCGAGGAGATGACGGGGCCCGCAGGCTGGATGATGCCCGCGAAGCCGGCGACGCCTGCAACAACAACAAGCTGGGTCAAAACCAAAAACAACCACAAACAAACTCGGAAAGCGTCTCCAAGAGGCATTGCGAACGTGACCGAAAGGACACCACGGCCCCTGTCAGCCAGCCAGACACGGCGACAGAGACAGGGAACGCTGCCCCCGCCCCGCACGCGGCTCGCTGGCCGAGCGCCTGACAACCAATGGGTAGGCAACCCGGTGCGCACGCGTGCCAACGGCCTGTCTAGTTGCCTACACTGTGCCGCCACAGGCGCACACGGCGCGCAGGCACGCCGCCTGGCCTCCACGCCGACGGTGCATTGGAAGTCCGGAAGCACTCGCCACGTGTTCAAACGGACGGACAGACAGACTGACGCGCACGGTCAAGTGTCACAAACACAAGCCAACCGACACTCACAGACTGCACATCCGGTACGACACTCAGAGGAATCGTCACCAACCGCCATGACTAAGGCGCTTGGTACGCGTTGGATACGATCGTGTTTTCGGGAGCACAAAGGTCAATCGTGGACGCCACAGCGAGGCTCGCCAAAACATTCGCACCAGGGCAGAAAAATCAAAAAGGTGCGGCGCGGCGAAGGAGTGAGGGACGTGCTGTACACCGTGCGAAAGAAGACTGCGCGTGTGCCTGCCGCGTGCTGCTCCTCCCTACTCGGCCGAATGTGCGAAACAGGTTAAAGCCGCAAAGCACCGTTCCGGGCGGCGCGTCGTCGAAACCAACACGCACACTCACACACACGAGTGGTCGCGGCTGTCGGCGAAAAGTGCGAACCTGTCACGGGGCGAGTGCGGCGGCAAGCAGCCGTCCCATTGAGCTGGGCCAGCCGGGCGGGCAGGCGGGCAGGCAGGCGCGACGCGGGGCGGCAGAGGCAAGAGGCATGCGATGTAAGAGGGTCTAATGAACGGCCTCTCTCCTTCGGCAGCGAAAGCGATGTGGCAAGGCAAGCTGGGAGCGACGACGGCCGTCCGGGCGACAGGCCGACGCGACGAGCGTGCGGGGGAGGGGGGGCGACACACACACACACACGTCGATAGTGTGCGCCCAGATAGCTTGCTCCGAGGCTTATCTGCTGATAAGCCCCCCTCGCGCGCTTCGCGCTTCGCTCGGCTTGCCGCGCGGCGACGGCCAGTCGGGCGGGAAAACGCTCCCCGATTCAAACATCCCACGTCGGCGAAGGAGGCCCCGAAGGCCCGGAACGCCCCGGGCGTCGACGGCGTCCTCCGAACGAGCCCGCAGCGCCAGCCAGCGCTACGTTTGCCCCAAGCGAGGCCTCGGCCGCCTCGCCGCGGCCCGCCACGCTAAACGCAGTGCAAGCAGGCTTCACTTCGGCGGCCAGGACCAAGGCGGTGGCGCGCTCTAGCGGCCGACGCCGCAACCTCGCACAGGAAAGGAGGAGGGGGCGGCGGAGCGGCGCGGCGGAAGGGGGCGGGAGCGGCGGGGCAGAGAGCGGGGCGGAAAAGTGGTCGGCGGGCTGTTGGCATTTACAGTCGCCGGGATCGGCGTCGTCAGCGTCGTCAGCGGCGTCGGTGTGGTCTACACTGTCGGCCCGTCGGTCCGATGAATCCGTCCCGTCCCGTCCCGCGTGGACAATACAGTGTGGTGGGTCGGTAAGAGGCAGCAGGGCGCAGGGCGGCGCAGTGACGGCGTGTTGACGCGCCGGGCCGCCTGCAGGCGACTTTGCTCGGGAAACAGACGACGCCGAGCGCGTCGCGGTCGCGTCCTCGCCGCGTCCTACGTCCTCGCGCCGTCGGGGGACAGACAGGCCGGCGGCCAAAAGCGTCACCAGCGCGGCGGCCCGTGCGTCACGCGGCACGCCGGCGGGCAGACAACCTCGCAAACCTTCCGAAACATCGGTCACGTTTTAGGAATGACTCTATATGCCGCCGTCGTGCCCCGTCGTTCCTGTTGGTCGCGCGCCGCTGGGCCGACTTTGGTTTGGCAGTGTAGGCACCGAGTCACGGCCAATTGCTGCAAGCCGGACCGCACGGGCCGCGCAGCGCTCCCAGTGCAGTGCCATCCGCGGCCCAGTGGGGCCCAGGGGGGCCCAGCCCGTGTCCCAGGTGGCTCCGCGGGAAATCCCCAAATCCCATGGCGGACGTTTCGGGAGGGCTGCACTGCACTATGGGCCTACACGGCCTACACAAGCTGCCCTATGATTGAAGTTCGCACGGACTGCACGGAGGAACACACAGCGACGCTCGGCTACCGCTAGCTGAAATATCAGTGCATGCAGTTGTGTCGACTGCAGGGAGGGGTCTCAAAAAAGGAAGGAAATCGACTTTTTTTATACAGTCGATTCGATCAAACTTCTCTTCTGACAGTGTACTCTGCTCTGAACATTCATGACGCGCCACGCACGCCGTACCCGTGTCCGCCCATCCATACCGCTGGCTTATTGCGGCACAGCGTCGCGCGCGTTGCGGCATGGAGTTCCTGGAAGGACGCCTGATGCTGGCCGAGGCAGGCGCCACGGCGGGCAGGGAGGGGACGCGGCGGTGACAGGGTAGTGACAGGGGCGGGACGAGGGGACACACGCCAGACGACCCAATCGCGCTTATCGGCGAAGGCTTATCTCTCCAGGACTGCGCCGCCATTGGTCGGCCGAGCGGTCGCTCGGCGTGCATATTGCATCTGTCCGGCGGGCCGGGCAGACGCCGTGGCTCCCAGTCTACCTCTCTCACATCATTTTCAAAAAGAACGCAGAGGAGAGGAACAACATCAAAATACGGTGACCAGACTGAAAGAAATAAAGCTGTGAGTTGTCAGTTTTCCCTGCTGTCAAGGATGAAACAGAAAACCAAAATCTAGTTTAATACAGTACGGCGGGGTGGGGAATGAGGCCACATAAAAGCGCTGGTCACGGAGAGGAACCTCGCAGCCATCGGGGGAGCAAAAAGTGAACCTTTTCAAACAGAAAGCCGCTTTCCGCTTTTCCCCGTGGAAACAGGAAAAGCGGCAGCGGCATACCGGGTAGCTCAGCGAGACAAGCAAAACACGACGAACAAGCCAGAGCAATAGCGCCGCTCAGTTGGTTAGCTCGGAAATTTTGCAGCGGCGGCTTTCTGCGCTGCCCCACTTTGATGGTGTGCGGAACAACAGGAAAACGCGCCTCGCCGAGAATGGACTATAGACACAGGAGTAAAAGAGAGAGGGGGGGGAGGGGGGGAGAGGGGGAGAGAGAGAGAGAGAGAGAGGAGAGAGAGAGAGAGAGAGAGAGAGAGAGAGAGAGAGAGAGAGAGAGAGAGAGAGAGAGAGAGAGAGAGAGAGGACGGCCGCTTGCTTGGAAGCACACCTTTCCATCAACTGCCAAAATCGATTCAACGACGGTGAGGCCGGGCGGGGCTCGGCGGGGCACGGCGGGGCACGCGGCGGGCATCTCCCGCAGGGGTCCCAACAAACCGAGGCCGGAAAGGTCGCGCCGAAGAGCGCAGAGCACCCTTCTACGCAGAGGTGGACCATCACGACTAGTGCCACTGTTTGGCCCGAGAAGAGTGAGTGGGAGCGTGCGCGCGCCACTGTGAGTGAGTGTGTGTGTGAGTGAAGCGTGTGTGTGTGTGTGTGTGTGTGTGCGATGGTCCACGCGTATACTTTTCTATTACAGCCAACTCCGAACAGGAAAAAGCGTCCGTGCGGGGCAAAGTTAGGCGGCGCCGTCACAGCGCGACTGGTACACGCTTTGACGCCGACGCGCCACTTCGGCCGTTCGGCACGCCCTCGGCGCAAGCGAGGCCTTCGGCGCCCTCGGCCTGGAGGACGACTTCCCCGGACGCCTCGGGCAGCCTCTGGGGGCGGCCAAGGCCTTGGCGCCTTGGCCCAGCACAGCCACAACGACGGGGGTGTTGTCGTTGCCCCGGCGCGGCCCGGCCCGACAGGCATTGTGCAACGGCAAGCCCTGCCCTGCCCTGCCCTGCCCTCCTCGACTCGACAAACAAGCCGCTGCAAATGCGCAAAGACGCCTCATCGCTCAGCCAATCCGAATGTAGTGTTCCGCTTCGCCGTCGGAGTCGGAAGCGCGCGCACACACTGTCCGAAGGGTGCTTTCGTCGCTCTGTCTCTCTCGCGCCCCTACGGAACGCGACCCACGAGTGCGACAGAGACAGGGTGACGTCACAGCCCTTTGCGGGTCGCCTTGTATACGTATTTTGGCGGTTGGGAGAGGGGGGAGGGGGCCTCGCCGCTGGTGCCCCATCGACCAATCAGCGCGCGAGGCGAGGGCCACGAATTCAACTCGACTGTGATATAATCATTAGCACGGCAATCCGCGGCGGCTAAATGGCATCGTCCCGGACTGATTCGTCGCTCCGTCTCCCTCGCACTCACGGGGCGTCCCGCATGGGTGCGAGAGAGACGGAGCGACGAAAACAGAGTGCTGCTCGTGGCGGCTTGGCCGGGGCCGGGGTGCCTCCACCACCACATTGGCGCTGGCGGCGTTTTGTTCAATCACTTCCTCACTTCCTCTGTCGCGCTGACGCGCTGACGCGCCACATATTGATCGCTAATGCCAGTGTTCGGGCAACACGACGACGGCGACGCGGCGACGCGGCGACGAGGCCACTGAGGGCGAGCAAACCCCAGCACAGCCACAGTGGGAAGGCACCTTAAACTCGAGACGCGTTTCGAGCTCCAGAGTCGCTAAATTGCGCTCAAACCGAACGTGTGACCCCACCAATGGATTGCTCTCCGTAAGAGGAATCCATTGGTGGGGTCACAACGTTCGGTTCGACTCCCATTTACGAGGTGCGAGAGAGACAGCGCGGAAAGTCTGCTACACTGCAGCAGCTGCGCCGCCGGGAAGGTAGGCAGCGATTTAACCTTAATTACCTGGGCACCATCCTCCCTCCATTACGTACGTCCGCAATCGCCGATCCCCTGGCCGCGGCGGCCGAGGTCCCAGGTACGTCATCCCCTCCCCTCCCCTCCCCTCCCCTCCACTGAAGGCAAGGCGGGGCGCGGGGAGCGGGGCGCGGCCGAGGCGCGGCACAACACAGCAG